TATATATATAAAAACGGGTACATAATCAATTATTATTACTAAAATTTTGACTCACAATGAAATTATAATTGTTCGATCTAAATATTAACATACCAGTAGTGTTTTGGGAGGTTTGGGCAAAGAAAGCAGCAATTTCCCTTTTACGGGTATTGGAATCACCAGTTGTACCAAAGCCAGGAAAAGACCTAGCAGCAGTGATAAAGGCATTGTAAGTGTAGACATTATTCTTTCCTTGACAAGAATTTTCGTTGCGAAGCTTAAGCATCTGATCAAACATGGAATTTGAGATGACGCTTCCAAGGTCCCCACCAGTAACAGGACCAGGACCAGGGCCGCCACCAGGACACTGGCTTTGACAATTGCCAGAACCACAATGGTCATTAGTGTTACCACACCAGCCGAATTTGCTGCAACAGAGTCCCGAGGCACAAAGTGCGCCTCCGGCCTGTGAACCACAATTCTGCGCCGAGGCAGCAGTCAGCAAAAGGAGAGAAAATAGTAAAGAAAAAGTAGTGAATTTAGAAGGCCTCATTATGAATGTAGTAGTAAAATGTGATGGGAAACAAAGTGGTAAAATGAAACGTATTTATAGGCAAGGAGGAAGATGACTGAATTCTCTATTTGTGGTTATGAGGCATCACTGACTTTGTTGTGTTATAAAATATATTTCACTTTTTTATGATTTATATCCATAAGTTTTAAAAATTATTAAAACTAACCAGAAATTTGTATTACAAGTCAATTGGATCTTCGTTGCAACAAATAACAAGTAGTGTCCATGACAATAGAGCAATGTGATAGTTTGGAGTGAGTGCAACAAGCATCATTCCATACATCGTGAAGTAGACAAAGCACATTACTTTGTTACCATGACCCGATTGTTCATCATTTTCATCAATAACCATAGCATCATTGTCATATTCACTGAATATTCCATCACTACTTTGGTGTTCACGTAAAAATATATATATCTATTCATCACTACTTTGGTGTTCACGTAAAATAATATGTAATACAACGTAAACATTACTATGGAGGGTGTTTTTGTAAAAGATAAAAGTTTGGTGTAATATTTCAATTTTCAAAAGATCCCAATCAATGAGATTTGGCCCAAAATACTAGAAAAACTAGTATTTGGGAATTTGTAGATATTTGCCAAATAATGACAAATTGTATGGGCAAACACTATTTTCCAATTTTTTTCCCAAATATTATTTGGAAAATCTATGGCCAAACGGGCCCTAAAAGAGCCAGGGCGGCTTTGGACGTTATTCCAGACTTTTCTCTACATAATTTAGACTGGAGACTATCATTAGCAAAAAATACATAATACAGAAAAGATAGCGGAATTTGAGTATGATTAATTGATGATCATAAAAACTGGATTTTGATTTTTTAAATATTAAACTTGCCTATTCAATAAAAACTGTACTACAAATTGTAATTTTCATAGTTAGAGTAAATTAAATTTGTAGTGGAAAACTATGTAACTCGTTCACTATAAGAAAAGTGTTGATTACCTGGGGATTTTCCTAGGGATAATACAGTAAATCCGCAGGTAATTTGATTACGTGCGAATTTTCTTGCAAAATGAAATCCGATGGAAAAACCTTCGTAGGTAACTCTTACCTGGGGATTTATACAATCCCTAGGTAATTTACTTGGGGAATTTAAATCCGCAGCTGTATTACTTGCGGATTTATCTGCATAGCTAACGAAAATTCTTGCGAATTTTTTGCTAAAATTTCTTATAAAAACGAAATTTCTTGCAGATTTTCATAGAAATATTTCGCAAGTGATTCCC